CAATCACCACCAGTTCCAGAGCATTCTCACGCTCCCCCCGCTCCCCTCAAGTAAACTGCAGCCTACTGCTGGCTTGGAGCCCCACGCTGGGCCCAGACTGCCTGCTGGGCCCACCACTCACTCGCGGCCCCACAGCCTGTCCCATTAGTGGTGTCCCTCCTCTGCCCTCATGTTCTGGGTGAGGATGGTCAGTTTGCGGGGATTATAATGCAGAAGCTTGTCAGCCTTTAGGGATCATCCTGGCCTCCCCAAGATACACACACTATGTACAAATCTTTACACGTTACATGTATGCATATGCATTTACATACATGCACACTAGAAGCACCTCCACACAATCACGTGCATGTATACCCATCACACATGCTTGTGAATACAACACACATGCACACCAGCACACACTTGTATATACACCATATTCATGCACACCTGTACACGCATATACACCCACACATACACTTGCACACACCCCACCTTCTGCACTCACATCATCCCATGCATACGTTTCCTGCGCACACACTAGCCCCAAGATGCATGCACCCACAGCATGTGCATGGGCACACGCATGCACACGCACATGGACATGCACACACGGAGCTCTGAGCCTTTCCTTCTTTTTCCAGAAAAAGGTGAACCCCGACCTCCCCCTAGTGTCGAAGGCCGGCAGCGGTGCCCGCAGGCTGCTGGAAGAGAAGCTGCGGAAGCAGAGGCAGAGAGAGCTGGCGCGGCGGCGGCAGGAGACCCAGCGCTGGCTGGCCGAGATGAGGTGCCACGATGGCCACCCCAGGACCAGCCCACCCAGGATGCCCTGCACCCAGGGCCATGCTGCTTGGCTAGAGCTGCCCCCTTATGTGCCCTTCACATCTGTCCCAGTGCTGCCCCCTTCCCGCCAGGCGGTGTCGACCTTTGTTGTCACGTGCTGAGGGTCGTCCATTCAAAACCCAGAAAAAGAGGGCAGGGTAGCACTGCCCCTGTGGCTTTCTGAGACTGACTCATCTTTCTCCCTCGGAGCTGCAGGTGTTTTCGAACTGTTGACCTTCCAGTTAGCAGCCCAACACGTAACCACTACGCCACCAGGGCCTTTCAACTGCTTGTGAATTACTGCCGCTGAGCCGTGGGCTCCGCCCTGGGGATGGGTCTCAGAAAGGTTATTATTGGTCTGTACCCACCTGGATGTCCCAAAAGATGTGGCCTAGGAAGTAGCTCCACCCACCTTCCACCCCCTCCTCCCACGGAGAGGTCCAGCAGGCAGGGCCAGGCTGGGAGCCCATAGGCCTGTGGGCTGCAGCCACTCTGGTGCTCGTCACGGACCCCACCCCTCCCTCCTGTCACTCCCCTCCCCTCCCCACCCTTCGAGCAGGTCTATCCCCAGACTCCAGCTTGCGAAAGATTGGGTGGTGATAGGTTTTTGCTGGAGTCAGGCCCGTCTGGTTCCCCTCCACACACATACACATCAGCACGTGATCCTCATGGGTGGCCAGACTCCACCAGACACCGCAGCCCTGTGTGGGGTGGCAGTAGAAGGCGGGGCGGGGCTGTCCAAAGGACAGGAGTTTGGTGGTTCCGTCTGCCAGGTGACAGCTGTCTGTCCCGTCCTCTGTCCCTGCAGGCACTACCAGAAAGAGTGCTGGCAGAGGCGTAGGGAGGGCTGGCCATCCTGGGAAGAGCACCCGAGCTGGACCGCCTGGCCTCCGCCCCCGCTCATGGTCCGGGCCGGGGCCTCCGCCACGCCCCTCCTGGTGGGTCTGTGCCCCCCACTCCCACCCCATTTCTCTGTACTGAAATGGCCGATGGCTGGGAGGAGGGGCGGGGAGCCCTCTGGGTGGCGCTGTCATGATCCCTTAGTCAAAGTTGGCACCTCATTGGAAGGTTCCAGAACCCCCTGTGAGCAGCCCAGAGCCATAGTGGCCCCTTCCACGCCCCCCACTCCCGTGTCTGTCACATTGCCCCCACACACACCCTGCACCTGTGAGCAGGTTGCCCCTAGATGGGGACCATGCTCACGTGTGAGTAACACAAACATATTGCCCTCTGCTACTTAAGAGCTGGTGATTCAGACCCACCTGGCAGTGCCATGGAGGAAAGGCCTGGCCATCTGCTGCCGTAAAGCAACCACGAGCAGTACCGCGCACTCAGACACCAGAGCAGGCTGGCTTCTGGGGTATCTTGGGAAGATGTACAGCCCCCTGCACGCCCCAGTGCCCCCCCCACCTGCACCTACTGGCCTTAAAACCTGTGGCTCCCAAGTCCAAGGTAGTCCACGAGCGATCACTGATCACCGTGGTCTGCGGACACCAGGTGGGACTGGGCACCTTACACACTGGGCCTCCATATCCCCACACCCCTATCACCTGCGTGCCCCAAAGCTGACCTGACTGCGGCTCCAGACCCCAACCTTGCTGTCCTGTCTCTGCCCCCCACCCTGCAGTCAGCCCAGCGGCCCGAGTCCAGCAATGACCGGCATGTCCTGTGCAGGCACGCGGCCATCTACCCCACGGAGGCCGAGCTGCTGGCCGTGCAGCAGGCCGTCTCCCACTCGGAGCGCGCC